CCCTCCCCGCTCCAGCCTCCGGTGGCCCCGTGCGCGCGCGAGGACCTCGCGCACCCGCCTGCCTCCTGCTCCCAGGGGTTCTTAACTGGGCCTCAGCACACTGCACACCTCTGCGCAGCGCATAAAATTAAGAATTTCTCACCTTTTCTAGACTCGCGAGTTCAAGCGTGATGAACGGTTAAGAACATGGCGCTGGGAAACGCTGCGCAAACAAACCCGAAACGGCCACCCAGACCACCCGTGGGTGCTCCGTGGCACTGGGCTTTGCAAAGAGGAGCGTGACCCTCAGTGCCCGCCCCGGCGTGCCCCGTTGCTGTGTCAGCTCCACGGGACAAGCACGTGGGCCACTGTCAACAGAGGGGACACTGGAGGACGAGCCACGAGACCAGCACCGCCTGGCGGCCTCTGTGCAGCGCGCTGGTGTCCGGCAGCGCGGTCTCAGAAGAGAGATGAACGTGCTGCCCACGACACTGCCAGAAGCTCAACAACCAAGTTCAGCCAATGCCATCGCACGACCAAGCACAGGCCACCCGGCCATCAATCAGAGGGCCGGAATGGAGAGCCCCAGGGACACTGTGACCAGGGGGCCAGCGAGAGGAAGACGAGGCCCCGCAGTGTGGGGCATGAGGTGGGTGTTTCGATGGCGCGCGGGGCCGTGGTCTGCGGGGCGGCCTGGCCAACCCTTGGGAAATGGCTCACAGTGGAGGCAGCCAGCACGCCCAGGGCCAGAGCTCCCGCGGCACACGGCTCCTCAAGGCCAGGCGGGGACACATGCTGGAGCGGGACGTCGGGCCACGTGAGCCCTTCTCAGCTGGGAACCCCGACAGATGACTTGCAGCCGTCCGACCTGCTGGGCACCCGCTCTCTCACGCCCAGGAGCCACAGCAGGGGCGGAGGGGCAGGTCCCAGGTCAGACCCCCGGGGCGCAGAACAAGGTGGACAGGAAACAGTGTGTGAGGCACCTTCAAGCGGATTGAGGCTCCCGGAGTCCGAAGGCCATGCCGCCACCCCCTCCTGCAGCTGTGGTCCCTTGTCACTATTCTCGGGGACCCAGGAAAGCCCTGCCCTGTCCCGCTCTTCAGGGAGGCTGCGGGCAGACTGCCGGCGGCCTACTCAGCGGCTTCTGGAGCTGCGTGTGGAGACAGCCGTTTCCCCGTGACATGATGGCCGCGATCCCACGGTTCACACTCATCGCCACAGGGCAGCAGGAGGCGCGCGGGGTTCAGGCCTCTGGATGGCACGAGCGCACCCAGCAAAGGCGCAGTTCCGTACGCAACTGTAAATCCATCTCCGCGACCGTGAAGAAACCGGATGACCGGGGGACCTTCCCTGCACTGCTCATCTGCAAATAATCAGGGGACCTGTCTCCGCGACTGAAGAAACCGGATGACCGGGGGACCTTCCCTGCACTGCTCACCTGCAAATAATCAGGGGACCTGGCTGCACGGGGTACCTTCCCTGCACTGCTCACCTGCAAATAATCAGGGGACCTGGCTGCACGGGGTACCTTCCCTGCACTGCTCATCTGCAAATAATCAGGGGACCTGGCTGGGCACCTCATGTCTAAACCTCTCTCGGGCAAACACAGTCCCCTGCAAAGGAGCACGACAATGACGAAGACCACTTGACGGATGCTAAGAAAAGGCGCAGAATGATGCGCAATAATCCTTTCCCCCAAGTTTACCGATGCACAGTCTTCGGTCCACTCTCTTGCTGTAAGGACCGGTATTCTCGCAGGTGGTCACGGGGGGTCCTGTGAACGCGCCGAGCGGAACGAGCGGCCAGCACTCACTCTTACCCACGCCAGGCCCACCTTGCAGGAAGTGATACATTTCTAGCCAATTTGGAACGGGTTCCAGAGCTACCAGAAAACAAGTCACAACAGCAGTCAGAGGCCCCAGAGGCAGTGAAGGGAGGACGTCCGGCCTCCACGTTTGCCAGAACAAATTCAGTTCATCCGGAGGAGTTAACGTTATGGTACCGAGTGTGATTTTTTTCGTGCGACACACTTTCAGTTACTGCTGTCAAGAAGCGTTTACTTTGGTAAACTATAAATAGTTTTTAAATCTTTCTAACATTACGTTTAGCATCAAAAATCGTTCGTGGCTGATCCCATTATAAGACTGGAGGATAGTAGAGAATGGGCTGAAGGGGTTTCCACCGGGCCCGCGGGCGCCGGGCGGAGAAGGCTGAGGGGCCTGGAGAAGACTCTGCGCCCGACGGAGCCCCAGGCCGCCTGGGCCACGCTCTGCTCCGCCACCAGAAGCCACTGGAAACCGGCGGAAGGCAGGAGCCCCCCCACGGCAGGGACAGAACCAGAGCTGCTGGCTTTCCTGACACGGGTAAACGTGTCAGGCTCTGGTCCCTTCTGCCTTCGCAGCGGTTCCGGGAGGCTGTGTGACTGCAGGGGCCCCGGAGAGCTTCCAGAGACGGCGTCTCAGAGCCTGCGCCCCGGGGCAGGGAGACAGACACGCTGCTTCTCCCTCCCAGAGCCGGAAGCCGGGGCACCTGCGTCCATCAGCACTCACGTTCCCTGCATGCACGAGGGTGGGGACTACTGACCTTGGCCTTCCGGAGCACGTGTCCCCGGCAGGGGGAGCTGCCGGCCGGCTGGCTCTTCTTCAGGATGGCCGCGCTGTTCACGGGCACGGGGCCCTCAGCGTCACTGGTCTCACAGCTGGACATGGGCGAGTTCTCCAGAGTCCGATGCTTGAAAACTGGGGACTGTTAGGGGAGAGAGGACACCCTGTGTGAGGTGGGCTTCCCAGGCAGGCACTACTTTCCAGCAGGAGATGGTTTATTTTAAAGAAAACAGTGAGTTTTGGAAAGAGGCAGAAATAATGACAATAGTAAGAACACCATACGCATGTGGTCAGGGCCCAGTTCCAAGAGCACCTTTTAAATGCCCGTCCCACAGGCAGAAAGACCGAGTGAGGCCGCTCATAGCCATGAGATGGGGACGGAAGGCCCGCAGTCCACGTCCCCAGCCGCAGCGCACGGCCTCTGGCGTGGCCACCTGCACAGCCCTTGGGTCCACCCCAGTGCTGGGGAGGGGCATCTGCCAGGCGGTTTGCAAAGAAGGACCAGAAGTGAGCACTCAGGGTGTCGACGAGGGAGGGGGCCCGGGGGTGCAGGGGGTGCAGGGGACGATGGCATGGGGCCTCAGCTGAGAGGGGCGGCGCCGTGGTCAGGCCTGACCCGTGTGCACTGTCTGCTCGCCGGCACCTCCAGCCCTGTGGAGCGGGAACATTGGCGCCTGACTCACGGGCGGCCGCGTGGGAGGCCTGAGTTAGCGAGCAGAGCAGGATCACCAGGGCGGTGATGCTCGTTCGACAAACGACTCCCATTTGTCCTGTTCGATTCGAAGAGGACACAGGCCATGTTCCATTCGTTTCGTATCCCCAGCGCCTGATGTAATTCACGGGACGTGCTAGACACTGTATAAAAATCTGCTATGCTGATTTAAGTGTCTACCTCATGCGCTGGCATCAAATTAGAACATGAATCAAAAGAGACAAAAAGAACCGTACCTATCATAGCAGGATTTTGCAAAGGGGAAGGAAACAGACTCAGTGTTTCCACTACCTTTTAGACAGTTCGGAGAAAGGGTAAGAACGTTTAACGTCAGTGAACTTCTCACACCGTTGAGGTGTTCGGGGCAGACGCGCGTTGTGTACTGGCCGTGCCACGCTACAGATCACGAGCGGCTACTCTAGAAAGTGAAACGGGCATGTTCTCTGGACGCCCGCGACCGTGCAGCTGCTCAGAGGCGCCGGCAGACGTTACCTGTGGACTCGAGGTCCCCGACCGGGGCTCGATGGCCAGTCCCAGGGTGACCCCGCCGGCCAGGGCTTTCCGCAGGCTCTCCTTGACCTCCGTCAGCTCCAGCTCCAGGTTGACGCGCTCCGCCTCCTTCTGCTTACACTCCTCCTCCAGCGTCCTCAGCTTCTCCTCCAGGATCAGCTGGGTCTTCCTGCCTGAAAGCCCGGGGAGACGCTGCTGCACCAACGGCAGGCGGAGGCCCGCCGCGGCAGAGCACAGGGCTGGCACGCCCACCAGCGGCTCTGCGAGACTCTGGGCTGAGCTCCTCTGACTTGAGTCCTTTCTGCAAAACTCACGTTCGACCGTCCTTTGAAGGAACAAAGTCCTTCCCCCACCACCTGCCTTTTCTGCAGCTGGAAGAATGTGGACCAGCAACAGGAGACCTTGATGCTCACAGGTCCCCACAGATCTGGGCCTGGGCCTCGACGCTCTCACTTGAACATGTGGTATTGAACTGCTGGGCTTCCCAAGGGGCCACCGGCTTGAAGGGCTGATGTTTTCCTGTTCTAATTCTCCCATCAGTTACTCGGTCATCTTATGTGCCCCTGGGGTCACACTATAACACAGCCTGCACCTCCCCAGAAAACGCCACGTTTGCTTAAGGCACATGTGCCTCATTGTCTTACTTGAATCGGGTTACGGCAGCACAAGGAGGCAGGTAACGCACCCCCGAGACAGCTGAGCAACCCGAGTCCGGGGCCCGGCTGACCTGTGCGTACGGCCCTGGCCTAGGGCTCGCGGCGCAGGACGGTCTCTCTTTTCAAGGTCCGAACCGGCGAGCTCGTCCTGCGCCCTCGCTCCCCTGCTCACGCAGCTCCCCGACCTCGCTTCCGCCCGTCCCGCCTCCTCCTACAGGTTACTGCTCATCTGCGCGGCCAACACCGGCCTCCCGTTCGTTAAACTCCAAAAGCACCTCCTTTCACAGAATCCACTGAGGCACTGAACTCTGTGCGCATGTGTGTCAACCCCTCCCTGCGAGGCGAGCCACCTGAAAGCAGCTGGCTCCCCCCAGGACTGTCCCCGTTCCCTGCACCGGCCTTGCGCCCCCTTCCACCTGAGGCCAGCAGGATGGAAATGCAAAGGTCGGCCCTGCCCGGGGATGAGAACCAGTCTTGAGCTGAGGCGTACGTGTTTGAGGTGCACGTGTTTAAGGCGTGCGCGTTCAGGCGTTTGTGCCTCTCTGGAGCCAGGCACCACACACCCGGCTCCTGCTGATGCAGACACTGCTCTGGTCCTGCCCTGGTCTCCCTGACGACTGCCACTGTGCTCAGCTCCTCTCTGGGCATCGCTGCCACTAACCTGGCCTCTTCCCCCGATCAAGAACTCAGGCACTGCCTTGCTCGTGGCAGTCCCTTCTCAGCGGACAGGGCTCCTTCTGCCCGCCCAGAGACCTCTTGTGTGTGCTTCTGAATGTTACCTGCCCTGTGCACTGCCTTCCT